ATGGGACACAAGTATAAAATCATGCGGCCAGAGCACTCAGAGCATCCGGAGCTTACTGGGAGACAAGTGGGAGACAAGTGTGAAATCATGCGGCCAGAGCACTCAGAGCATCCAGAGCTTACTCGGAGACAAGTGGGAGACAAATGGGAGACAAGTGTGAAATCATGCGGCCAAGCACTCAGAACATCCAGAGCTTACTGGGAGACAAGTGGGAGACAAATGGGAGACAAGCCTGAAATCATGCGGCCAGAGCACTGAGAGCATCCAGAGCTTACTGGGAGACAAGTGGGAGACAAGTGGGAGACAAGTGGGAGACAAGTGGGAGACAAGGGTGAAATCATGCGGCCAGGAACACAAGCCCGGAGACAAACTCAAAATCATCCGGCCCGAGCATGCACCCCTTTAAAAGGAGTAAGAACCCCTCACAGGTAAACCTGTTTGGGGAAAAACCTCCGAATTGGTTAGCCCTGAACGATTCCTTGTTCTTCGGAAGACAAAGTCACAGGTGACGGCTCATTCGGTGCGCGGGCTCCACCATGCTAAGAAGGGTGAAAACCGATCACTGAAGCCACTTCATCTCGGCGTTTCAGCCTCTCCATACTAGGTCCTCTTTAGCTTGTTTGACCTCCTTAGCCAGCTTCTTGAACCCTTTGTTCCCCTCCGCAGCGCTTTTTCACCTCTAGCAATGTTAAGCTTGACTGGGCCAATCGAAATCTAATGGGTGTTTTGCTACGGCTGTGCTCGGAGTCGAGTCGCCACATTCGCACCGACTTCGCCACCGTGACCGGCCCCGTCACCTGCGGGGTGCGACCCATCATCGACATCAAGGTCCTCGCTGCGAGCTGCGTATGGCGGAAGACCGCAGACGAGGCTCGGGCGAAGACGGCTGAGGCTGGGAAAATCACCAAAGAGCGACCAATGATATCCCAGATTCGTTCAGATTGTTTTGAGACTCCTGCTGGTCGAGTTCTTCAGTGAACGATATTTGTGGTAATGAGCCACTACACCATACAGAACCTAGTACAGTCGGTTCTGTGTGAAGCCGGTTGCAAAAGGCACATGCACTCTCCATTGCAAAGCCAAGAGATTCATGAAATGCATGCCCTCCGTCTTTCATCAAAGTCTCAGCAACCGTCGAGCTTCGGCTTGGGGATCGAAATCTCACCATGGACCACTGAAACCAAGTTGAAAGCAACCTCTTCAGGCCTTATGTTGCCTGAAGGTGGTTGCAATTGGGGACTCTTGGGGAGAGGTATGCCAACCACAAAATTGTAACTATATAGTAACGTTAAAACCTCAAGGAAAATTTGACATCGGCCTGGCAGTAAGACCTTCCAAGGTCTCGTCACAGCCCGCATTCCGAATAAATCCATCACCCTCTGGCCATTGGGCCATTGGGGACCCGGGTGACCATTTGGAAGACCCGCCTGTCAGATGGATTTGAGCGCAGATGTTCCAGATTTCGTCTGCAGAAAAACAGCAGCTTTGGAGCCCTGAGAAACCACGAGGACTTTGCTTGGATCTTTCCCGCCGGCTTCCACACCGCCACGCCTCGCTGGCTTCAGAGGCGTTGTCATGGCCTGGAGGACGGATGACCATCGCCGAGGGTCGGACTGTTTGGATCGAAGCTACCAACGTAGCGATGGCATCGCTACGAACGTAACAAAGGGCAACGGAGCTAGTTAGCTACTGTTACTAGTAGCAAACGCTCCGGAAACCCAAAGATGAAATGAGTCAGAATGGGTCTCAGGGATTGATCACACACGAACTCAACGCGACGCGAGTGAAGCGGGAACCGACCAAACCAAAGAATTTGATCAAAATCCAACCGGTCAGACAACTTCGAAGGGGGCCGTGAGTAGATACTGATACAACACACACAACGGTAACAGTCGTGAGGCAATATCGTGAAAAGTAGACCCTTCGGCCAGAATAACCGCGTGAACAGGGTAACTCCTAACTTCCATCGTGCATGGTAGGGCCTGGTAGGGTGCTTGATTGGCATGTTGACCTCCTGCTTCACCATGTCAGTTTCCCCCTATCACTTGCTGTTCCCAAACCGGAGTTGCAAGTGCTCGCCACCTTCTTGTCACTCAAGACACACCCAACGCAGGTTCGGTTCGGAGACTCGAGATTCGGTTCGGAGACTCGAGATTCGGCCTGCTTGAAAAAATCCGTACCAACAACTCAGTCCACTTGTGGAAGCCCGAGACTGGTAAACTCCGGCACCGGGACAGTCTACCAAGAAACACCGGAAAGCGGTGGGTCGATATTGAGCAGCCACCATCTGGAAAAAAAGGTTTGGGCGGAAGTTAGCGAGTCTGCTTGCAGCACAACCCCCTCACCTGAGCAAAGGTACAACTCTTAACTGCCCATTCTCAAAGCTGTTGACCCATCTTCTCTTGCTGCATTTTGTCAGCTCCAGCTTCAGGCAACAACCGCACAGCTTCAAAGTGGCCGTTCTCAGCTGCAATGTGCAAAGCTGTCTCTCCATCTTAGCTTGCTTCATGTACGTCAGCATCAGCTTCCAGCAAAAACAACACAACACAACTTCCCAGTTGCCATTCTTGACTGCATTAAACCAAGCCGTTGGCCCTTCCCCTGCCCAACTCTGAACAGTTTCAGCCAGCAGCACTTCCCGCGCGTCCCGCGCCACCCATCATGTTGAGTAGCTGCAGCCAAAAACACTGCATCCGTGTCAGCTCCAGCTTTTTTCTGCTGTACAACTTCCAAGCAACATGCAAAGCCGTGAGACCACCCTGTGCTGCATCTTTCAGCTCCAGCTTCCAGCAACAAGCGCACAACTTCCAGGTGGTTTGCGCCGTCATCTCTTGCTCCTGCTGCATCTTTGTCAGCAACGAGCGCACAACTTCCAGATGACCCCTCTCAGCTGCAACACTCAAAGCCGTTTTACCATCCAATTCTCTTCGTCAGCTCTGGCCTCAAGCAACAGCTGCACAGCTTCCAATGGCCCCTAAAAGCTGCTACATAAAGTGGTGGAAAGTCCCTATGAACGTTTCCCCGATTTGGATTCTGTGGTTTTTGAAGCAAACGTTCCATTTCAGCCACATCATTGGCTTCATCATATGCACGATGCAGTTCCTTCTTCGCCGTCTCATCTGGAGCACAAAGGGCCGGATTACCAGTTGTAGTTGGCAGCGACCTCAAATCCATGTCATCCTGCAGCTCGCCGATTTCTTCACTGAGGAGCCCTTGCTGAAACCTTGAAAATCCAATCCTGTTTGCAAGCAAGAGTTTCAGGTCTCTAACTGAACTTCCACTTTCCACCATAGAACCGATTTCATCATCATGAAGCTTCGCAACAGTTGCGCCAGACAGGGCAATAATTTCCATGTGTGAGGCTCAAAAACGAAGGCTTGGGATAATGGCCAATGGAGGTCCAAGTGAGGCAAGGCATTCCAATCAATGCAGAACTGATGAGCAAATATTGAAGCCTTTCTTCCGAACAATCGCATGTTCTAACAACCCCAACAAGAAATCTGGTTTCTCAAAATAACCAGAATGAGATCGTAATCATGCATCTCAAGGGCAATCCTCTAGCAGCATGCCATAGCAACATCCTGCTGCATCTTCGACTTTCTAGCATGCCATAGCAACGGGTCTCAGTTGTGAAAAAAGCACCTCCCCTGAGCCACCAAACCCCACCGCCTCCACCACCGGGATTCCATCACCGACCGAGCCGCCTCGGGGCGGCAGCCCGTGGACTTCGCGCGCGCGGGCGAGTTCACGGCCTGGCACCGGTGGAAGCAGGGTGACAGAAGGCACCCGTTGACCATTGGAATTTTGGATTTCACTTGAAAAGTTTGACTTTGCACCACTGAGTTGAGGCAAGTCAAACACCCAGATGCATCAAACACCGGATCTCCGCTCCTCAAGGTCTACTCACCACCCTGTCAGCTTGCAGGCAAGGGGACTCCCTCGTGCCACAATCTTGCAGGGTCTCCAGAGAAATTTAACGTCGGACTCCGTCTCTGAGTCATTTCGAACGGTCTCCGTCGGCAAGTTTCCTCGCCTCGCCGAGCGCAACTGCAACACCAGCACCCTACACCACGCACGCTCAGCTGCACTCCCCTCTGACCGCCGCGGCACCAGCACACCCGCACGCAGAAAGCTCGTGATTCCTGCACACAGCACCAGCTTGGACCTCTCATGTTCGCAGAAGCTCTTGGCGGTCTACCTCACGGTCTACACCACAACGCCCGAACAAAGGCAGGGCCCGCACCGCTGGTGGCGTGAAGACCGGGTCGGCGCCGTGCACAGTGCATCCATGGCGTTGGTCCTACCTCCGATTGTTCCGTGTCGCAACCCGCAACCAACAGGTCGATGGGTCTGCTTGCCCCCGTCCAAAAACTGGGGGATGAAGGGCGTGACTCCACGTTCCCATACCCGACTCCAAAGCCCAATCAGTCCATCCGGTCCATCCAGGGACGTGCCCGCCACCCCTTGCCTCCAGGATCTGTCGCACCTGGCAACGCTTTTTGGTCGGCTTACGCCATCGGTCGAAGCGCCACTCACCCGGTCCCTCGAGTGTCCGAATCAGCTCGGCGGCGAACACGTGCCACCTTCACGTCTGAAAAAGCTGAAGTCACCTCCAACCGACGGATGGTCCCTCGCCTCTTCGGGTTTTTCGTGAGAGGACAAAGAAAATGCGGGTTTTGGGTGAAAGGAGGGAGGAGGACCCAGAGGAGCCGTTCGAAAGGTGCAGCGTGTGTGTGTATAAGTTATAGAGAAAGGGAAAGAGGGAGTCCAGGGTTGTCTGTTCATCCCTTGGATGGTCCTGCTACGGTCAACGGCACCGCTTCCACACCTGAGCCTTCTGCAAATGCGTCAACGGCACCGCCCCAGGCGACGGGAAGGGCGCCGCAGGACTGGGCCTGGCTGGTCAAGAGTCATCCACAAAAGGTCGAACTGCATTCCAGGAGTTTCAAAGGGGTGCTATCCATGGAGGTCATCAGCACGCCACCATCATCATCATCATCATCATCATCATGCGATTCAGAAGTTGTACATTGGGGGTACCCACTGAACACTATTCACTCTTCCTCCACAGCACGCTCCAAAAACAGTGCCACCGGGTCCCTTTGTAACAGTGCACGCGCAAAAAAAAATTAGCCCAGCTAGAGACCCCAATAGCAAGATACAAAACGGGACAAAAAGAAAAATCTGGAAATAACTGCTGTTTTCAACACATCGACCATCTCTTCCTTGGACACCATCATCACATAACCGGGACACCATCACAAAATGACCAGGGCACCATCAAAACATGACCGAGGCACCGTCACAACATGATTGGGACACCATCACAACATAACCGGGACACCATCACAAGATGACCGGGACACCAGCATGACATGACGGGGACACCATCACAACATGACCGGGACACTATCACAACATGACCAGGGCACCATCAAAACATGACCGAGACATACCGAGACACCGTCACAACATGATTGGGACACCATCACAACATAACCAGGACACCATCACAAGGTGACCGGGACACCAGCATGACATGACGGGGACACCATCTTAACATGACCGAGACACTATCACAACATGACCGGGACACTGTCACATGACCCGGACACCATCAAAACATAACCGGCACACCGCCAAAACATGACCAGGACACCATCACAACATGACCGGGACACCATCAAAACATGACCGGGACACCGTCACAACATGAGCGAGACACCATCACAACATGACTGGGACACCGTCACAACATGACTGGGACACAATCACAACATGACCGGGACACCATCACAAGGTGACCGGGACACCAACATGACATGACGGGAAAACCATCACAAGATGACCAGGACACCATCACAACATGACCGGGACACCGTCACAACATGACTGGGACACAATCACAACATGACCGGGACACCATCACAAGGTGACCGGGACACCAGCATGACATGACGGGAAAACCATCACAACATGACCAGGACACCATCACAACATGACCGGGACACCGTCACATGACCCGGACACCATCAAAACATAACCAGCACACCGCCAAAACATGACCAGGAAACCATCACAACAGGACCGGGACACCATCAAAACATGACCGGGACACCGTCACAACACGACCAGGACACCATCAAAACATTACCGGGACACCATCACAACATGACCGGGACACCATCAAAACATGACCGGGACACCATCAAAACAGGACCGGGACACCATCACAACATGACTGCATGAGACACAATCAAAACCTGATCGGGACACCATCACAACATGACCGCGCCACACTCACATGATCGGGACACCATCACAACATGACTGGGACACCGTCACAACATGACTGGGACACAATCACAACATGACCGGGACACCATCACAAGGTGACCGGGACACCAACATGACATGACGGGAAAACCATCACAAAATGACCAGGACACCATCACAACATGACCGGGACACCGTCACAACATGATTGGGACACCATCACAACATAACCAGGACACCATCACAAGGTGACCGGGACACCAGCATGACATGACGGGGACACCATC